AATAAAAAGGGACAGTCATTTCTAAAAATGTTTTAAATACTACTCGTGTGATATTCATGCCAAGATGCTAATTCAGACACAGACAGACAGACAGACGACAAACAGACAGACAGACAGACAGACGACAGACAAAATTATTCAGCACAAGGCTTTCGGCCAAAAATATAATTATTTGTATGATAATATATTAACTGCGTGATAAATACAATACACATAATATTTATTTTATGTCCCTCTTAATTCATGAACTATTTAATAAAATAGTAATTTAGGTTAAAAAAAAACCCGATATGCGGTATGTCATATACAGACAGTGACATGGAGAACAACATTAAGAAACATTGGATTAGGGGAATGTGAACACGCTCACTGAATTTCAAACGTATACGGTTATAGTGGCTCTATACTTTAGACGTTAAAATAACTGTGGATATCTGTTCGGGAAACACGCGAGGTGTAGATTCTATAGACGGTTTCTATAAACCTCATTAATCCAGACGGGACGTTTTAACACATTTCCGGATTAACGAACCATCACGAGAAGTAATCATTTTTGTGTGTCCGCGCGCGTGTGTGCGTATATATGTCCGTACTACAAGGGAGTCCGGACTATCGAGGTGTTATGTTAGGTCAGCTCTGGATAGACTTTGTAGTTGTTGGGGTTTTTAACGCCGCACTCTTCAATATTGCAGCTATATGATGGCGGCCTGTAATAAATCAAGTCTGGATCAGATAAACTCGTGATTGATATTACGAGATGATCCACGCCGCGTTCCATGAAGTCGCCTCTTAAGAAAAACATATATTGCTGGGGATTAATTCTAACCAGGATTCCCCACGGGGTTAACATGAAGTTGTAAAATGGAGTTTCTTCATGTTTTGTTAAACCCCAATTTCGCTTTTCACGTGAATAATAGTTCCTTTACTAATGAAGGGCTGCTATTAAGTTCGCCATACTCGAGTATTCAAAATATCTAAATTCGTTAATTTCGGTGAAATGTATGTTGATAATGAGTTTGGGATTCGAACAGATTTGCATCATGACTGGTTTGAAAGCAGTGATATTATCTGAAGCAAGAAAAATAAACTTGAAGCATTTTGTATTTATTAGCCGATTTTTTTTCATGAAAATATGAGTTCTCAGCTCCCCTTGGAGTATGCTTCTGTTGAAGGTTTTGTTTTTAGCGAAATTGGTTTTAGCTTTTACAAACATGATGGACGAAACCAGATAATTGCAGCAATAAACCAAATTAAAGAAATCAGTTTTGATACAACCCTGATTTTGTCCATTTCACTGTACTTGTTTCTCTGGTACACTGACTATGATATAACATTGTACACACAATGCCTACAAGCAATACGTACAATTTGCACCTGTGGTGTTATCAGTCGCTCCTTAACGTCCCAAAACAACCAGAATTAATACCTCCTTAAGGTCTTAATGCGCCAAGAATAAATCTCTCCCTGTGGTATTAAAACACCCAGAACGAATCACTCATTGAAGTCTTACAATACCCATAACAGTGAAAAAGGATTTCCCGCAACACTTGATCTATATTCAACAATGGTTCAAAGGTATTCATTTCACTTTAGTCGTTAAACGAACAACAGACATGGTTCACTAGTGTGTTGACAGAACTAAACATATAAACACACTTAGCAAAAATATTCCGTGTATATAATACACGTAGCTGTTAGGGGTAAATAGTCACATTCAAGACGGCAAAGAACACAGGTGAGTGGAGCTGATATAGTCTATAACATGTATCTATTTTGAAGTGTTTTGCCATCTTTGAAATTGTTCCTTATGTACCACGTGACTTTGTTTAACGTAGTGTTCTGTTTAATTACTTTATTAACTGGCCGTGCAAAGATAAATCAGGCGTACTGATACTAACGATTTCGCGAAGGACAAGGCTTTTGAGGGCCACATGATTTGCATAATGTAAATGATAATACATTTTGATAGTGTTGTGAAAGTTATCAGATGTGTTTCTACGAACGAGAAATAGACTTGCGTGTTTATGGTCTTATAACAATATTAAATGCATTTAACACGAGCAAGAGTCTTTGACCCAAATTGATTTTCTTAAGAGATGGAGATAAAGGCAGCTCAAATATGGTAAATAATTCATCGTAGGTCACTGACTCCCATGCTCTTGAAATTCGAAAATTCTGGATTTTTCAGCCATTTTGCCATACTTACATTCATGAGCCTGTCAGTATTTAAACCAGTTTAAGAAAGAAGAACAGGCTCGCAGTCAGTCATTGGACTGTGTCTCGTGATTTTCATACGGATATTTAAACGTTTTTCGATTGCCTTCAAACTTGGCATATCCATGCACTGCGCTAAATGACGACCATGCCCTACCTTGTCCATGTTGACCGGCTTATAGTGATGGCTACAGGCCAGGTAATGGCTTGAATAGTATGCAGACAGACATTTAATATATATATATATATATATATATATATATATATATATATATATATATATATATATATAAATATATGACAGTTACTTCCAACTCAATCTTCGCAAATCATCATAATGTTCTGTTATCATACAACACCAGATGTTGCAGATATGTGCGCATCATATTGTAACATCAGTAAGAGACAAACTAGACATTTTATATACGGTACCTGAATATTTCTTAATTCTAGTCAAGTTAATAATAGAGTGCCGGTTCCCGACATGTACACTGTACACTGTCCAACAACGTTGGATGCATCATTTTGGAAGAGGAGGAGTGGGTGGGATGGGGGATGTGGAAACTGAAAATAATTCGAGAAACAATTGGGAAATAACACGGGAAGCAGTTTGTGTTTGTTGTTAAAAAAAAGAAAATAGTCAATTAATTATGATTTATTTGTTGAAAATATGTAAATCTTATCAAATAATTATCTTATGATTTAGTTATGTTTATTTACGTCAATATGACGATGATTAGACGACTTGGATACCACAGCAAACAGTTTCTTAAAACATTACCCTCCTCATTCACTACTGTCACTTGTTCTTTCCCCGCTGTTAGAAAGCAACTAAACAGGTGAGGTGAAATGGGGTTTAACGTCGCGTCCAAGTTTATTGCACTTATATATAGCGACGTGCATGCACGTGTATGTATGTGTGTGGTTGCTTGTACTAGTCCGGACTGATGCCGATTTATAGTGCTAGCGCACCATGCCGCAGTTTAACATGAATACCCCACTCAGACACAGTATACTGACTCCGAGCCGACCAGTCCTTGTTTTAGCTCCTTAATGCCGAGCGCCAGACAGGGTAACAACAAGTACCATGTTTTACCGTCTTTTGGTATGACGCGGTCGGGGATCGAACGCCTGACCTTCCGCTCTCCGGGCGGACGCTCTACCACTAGACCACGGAGGCGGTCAGCAACTAAACAGACAAGATTGGGGAAATATGTTCATCATTCAGTTCAAATAACATTTTGTCAGGCAGTATAAACCTTCATAATATATATCAGACTTAAAAGGTTATGTGTAAAATAACACTGGTCTCTATTTTCCAAACTTCAGTGGCTGCTGTTTCTCTCATGAGTCATCACCGTCACACGTTTAAGAAAGAAATTTGGAACCATGGTTGTGATTCTGGTGATTTTGAAAGCAATTCTATTTAAAACAAACTGAAACAAATATATCATTTTACGTCAAGTAAAACGTATTTGGGGAAAAACACATTCAAACATAGGTACGTCCTACTGAAGCCACTACCGTTATAGGGTATCAAGCCACTACCGTTACACTGTCGTGCCCGTACTGTTACAGACACCAGCCTCATTACTTGTTCTCTCACCATAAACATTGACATTTTTAGATCGTTCAAGAGAAACATGATTCGTACATTATAGGAAACAAATATCCAAAGTTATTCTTTCAGTGTTCAAGTGGACTACCAATTTATCTGACAATATGTCCATACTGTGTATAGTGTCTGACCTCACTGTTACACAATACATTACTGACATAATAACAGACGTATAGTGACAGATCTCGGGATTTCACGTCTAACACAAAGCAGATTCTCCTAAGATCAGGTTGGTTGGTTGGTTTGTTGTTTAACGCCACACTTAGCAATATTCCAGCTATATGACGGCGGTCTGTAAATAATCGAGTCTAGACCAGACAATCCAGTGATTGACATCATGATTGGGATCGATGACATGCATCAACCAAGTCAGCGAGCCTGACCACCCGATCCCGTTAGTCGCCTTTTACGACAAGCATGGTCGCCTTTTACGGCAAGCATGGGTTGCTGAAGACTCGCAGGATTTGGGAAACACAGGCTTCCGAAACTGCACATATGAACAACAGTATTGATGGTGAAGGTTTTATTTCAGTCCCAGTATCAGTAGTGAGATGAAAAATATGACATAAGCAAACTATCTCATCTTATGTTTTGAGATTTCTGTATTCTTTAAAAAACCCATCCCCAATCATGTTTTTATTTATGTTGTTATTGTCGACAGAAAATTGTGAGGAAAATAAATTGAAATTCATCAAGTTGGTCCCCCAGGCTTTTAAAAAGAAAAAAATGTCAAATTATTATTACTGTTTTTCTGTTGTTGGTGTGTGTGTGTGTGTGTGTGTGTGTGTGTGTGTGTGTGTGTGTGCGTGCGTGCGTGCGTGCGTGCGTGCGTGCGTGTATGCTGGGTGTGGGGGGTCTTATTTCATTTTAATCGCGAAATATTGATCAAATTTAAAGTGAAATATTTTTCAGAACAGCAAAAAATAAAGAAAAGTAAACCAAGAAATATTCACATTATTTTTTTATCTTACACAATTTTGAAAGTGACCCGCGTACATCTAGCGTCAGTTTCCTGGTCACCCGCTGCCTTCAACGTACTAACAATGGGTGCATCAGCCCTCTCTGTGATGTCTGTCACGTACGTGTCAATTGAGCTCTCAGGAAACGCTAGCAGAATACGTAATAGAAACGCGCAGTAATTGTGTTTGTAGCTCTCTCTCTCGGCTCCCACTCACCTGTACAGAGACGTCAGATCGCTCGCATCTCTCTCCAATCGTAAGTATATATACCCCTAGAACTCCGCTATCTCGACATGTCATTAAGACGTCGTGACGATGTGGCCCTGACAGAATCCTTATGGACACAGACGCGCCATAAAGTCTTTAAAATTCTTATAATACCAATGCTGTTCTAATGCTCATGTCGATTATGTGGAACTTCGAATATTTCACAGGTATTTGAGAGTACCGAGGACTTCGTGTTAACGATGTGTAACTGTACGGCGTTTCGCATATACCGGGCCCAAAATGTGGCTCATCTGAGGGGACACTAAAGTTCGCCGGGGTGTGACATTAAATGATTTGCTTTAAAATTCCGCGCAATAAATATCAATTTTAAGTAATATAAAGTAAGTATTATCCATGTTTTGTTGAAGAAATAGGTATTTGGAAAGTTTACACGCAACCTTATAGCAGGGAGTCTGTATATAAGAGAGGACTGGGGGTATGTGTTATACTTACCGCTTGAAACGCTGAAGAGTCACTCTTCATGCCGACATAAACAAACAAATGTTCCCATTTCATCTGCTGAATTTCACCCCTGGTTAATATTTAATGCGGTTTGAAATAACCCCTCAACAATTATCCGATGTTTATTCATAATTAAGCCTTCACCAAATTTAAAAACAAAAAAAACAAGAGAGAGAAAAACATTTAATACTGTATGTCATTGTGACCCTACAAAGCTTTGATCTCGCATGGCTACCCTCGTGGCATAAAACCATTGTTGTACAATATTATGCTGGGCTATCTGATTACTTGTGCTACAGAATCTGTTTTGTATTGTATTGTCTGTATATTTGTTTTTGTTTTCATAAACGAACAACACCTTTTTGTGTTCATAATGAAAACTATTTCCACTATTCATTTTCATAAATAAATTATCCATAAAAAAGCTGTCGAGGCGGTCCCCCGAATCCTGCAAAAGAGCACCTTGACAACCACGTGACCTCGACCTTCACTCTGTCAAAATGGCGGCTTCAATCTTCAAAGATGTGGAAATGGCACCGGCGATCGAGGTTTTTCAACTTACCAGACGATACAACGAAGACACATTTCCACAGAAAGTAAATCTCGGAGTTGGAGGTAAACTGAAAGATAACTGAATTGCCTGTCGAGCGAAATTGGCCATATAATTACCCGGGGATATTTGAAGGTTATAATATACGTGCGCCTCAATCAGTCACTGCTGAGATATGTTTCTGTCGAGTGGAACAAGGACATTATATCTGTAATCAACGTTAGAAATTGGGACCTGTCCTGAAGTCCTTGCCCCCAAACTGCCAAGTGGTTAAGATATCTTAAGGACTAGTAGAAACCTGCTATTTCAAAGGGTTTTCTATATGTTATCATTCTAACTCTAAGGACGAGTGGACGGAAAATGTTAGTTTTTACCGCTGTGTAATGTTGTAGATATAGCTGTTTAAGTTATGTTACTTCGAGGCAGTAACCGCGAGCAGAGAAATGTGAGCAGCACAGGTGTTTCAATGCATTTCTATGAATTATTTGATACGCCTCTACGGGTTAATGTTACTCCATACGAATCGATATACACAGATGTAATTTATATACTGAAATGTGTGTCAATATACAATGATATAAGCCTACACGTAACATGTTTTTCCGAATTAATATGCTCTACGTTATTGGCATGAATTAGTTCATTAATTATGTTGGCATAATTGGTAAAATACCTTTGAACGGAAGAAGTATTGCGCTGCTTTTCCTATCTAACATTTTTCATTGTCCTTTGGTTACTACAATACATACATTTCAATGATATTCGGTAATGTGCACTTTGACCGAGCTTGAGAAGGCTGGTGCTAGATAAGATCAGACTCCCTGCCAGAGGAGTTGTAGTTGTATTTGTGACCAGTGCATGTAAATGTTGGATAGTAAAAGCAGAGCAATAAATAGCTACAAGCTGTTGGTACATGGCCTTGACCATAATATATGTGCGGACAATATTATTGCCTTGAGATAATTCAAGTTCAACAATTATAGGTTTGCACAGTTTGCACACTAAGACAAAATAGTTATGGATGAGCAACTTCTTTATTACAATTGCAGGGTTAGAAACTAACAGTTTTCGTCCACTAGTCCTTATAATGATAACATATAGCAAAACCCTTAAAAAGGGCAAATTTCTACAAGTCCTTATGATACCTTTACCATTGGGCAGTTTGGCAAGGACTATAGGACTAGTGCCAATTTCTAATGCTGCAATTGGGCGACGTTTCGGTGTAGATTCTAACACCGTTATCAAGCAGTTTGCACAGTTGATAACATTCTGGCAGGTTTCTTCAAGTCGATCAAAACCTGTTTGTTTGTCTGTTAGCACCAGGGAACTGTCCATAATAAGTTTTGGGAGTCCCTGGCTTGACCATGGGCATCCATTTTGGTGGCCCAATCATCTTAGGAGCTGCAGTTCACTGTGTAGAGTTGCCTCCCTTGGGCATACCAGAAACCTATGATTGTGGGTTCCAATCCCGGTTCGCTCCAATTATGTTTCTTGGTTTGGCAGCACTATACCAATGCTCATGGGTTCCACCATATAGGTAAATATCTGAGACCTGCATCACTTGGGCTTTCCTCCCACATTAAGCTGACACGCCGGGATAACTGGAATACTGTTAAAAGCGGCGTTAACAACCGATCTGTCACTCACCTCATATTTTCTAGCACTGATATCATTAGATCAGATAAACATCTGGTTAATAATTACCCATGATTACACAGTATCACATGCCATGAACATGGCTCCAATTGTGAAACTGGAAACTGAAACCAGAATATGGAGCATAAGTTTTCTTTTAGCCAAGTCGAATCTGACCCTGCAGTAGACATATATATCTGTGTCTATTTTATAAATATGTTTTATTTTCAATTTAATGATACAAATTATTCTCTCAACAATATTGAGTTGTGTATTGCATCATCTTTCCATGTCTGTTCACTTGACCTGGCCAGAGATCGAACCTCTGACCTTCTGTGGGCGGTCGGGTAGCCCAGTGGTTAAAGTGTTTGCTCGTCACGCCGAAGACTTGGGTTCGATTCCTGACGTGGGTACAATGTGTGAAGCCCATTTCTGGTGTCCCCCGCTGTGATATTGCTGGAATATTGCTAAAAGCGGCGTAAAACCATACTCACTCACTCACTCACTGACCTTCTGTTCTCCAGGCAGACGCTTTATCCTCTAGACCACAGAGGCGGCTTGGGGTCAGTGATCTGGGGTACCTGTATTCAGAAGCACTGGTAATGCTTCTTTCATGAATAATTATTGAAATTTTGTTCTTGTCATTTTTCCCAGCATACCGAACGGATGACGGTAAACCATGGGTCCTGCCAGTAGTGAATGCAGCAGAGACTCAGATGGTCAGTGATGCTCTGAACCATGAATACTTACCAGTGGCTGGTCTCCCCGCTTTCCGCAATGCTGCCATCAAGCTGATTCTTGGAGAGGACAGTCCTGCTATAGCAGAGAACAGGGTTAGTATACATGGGGCCCACCCTTTTTTGGGGTGGGGTGGGGGGGAAGGGTTACAGATTTTTATGTGCAAAATTTGCTCAGTCGGTCGAAATAGTTCAAAAGAAAAATACATTGAGCACGATCAAGTTTGATTTGGATTGGTAGATGATAAAAGTAATTGGCCTGGCTTGGTTCCTTAATGAATATTAGTTACCTAAAATCTGACCTCTTTCGACCCATTTGAAGAAGTAATTATAATACATTATGAATATATCATTTGTATGGTAACCAAATATAAAAAAAGTTTACACGAAAATTAATTCCATTATCCCAATACTCAACCATGACATCACTAGATACTCACATGGTCAAGTTGACCTTTTTGAAATAGTGAGTGAGTGAGTATGGTTTTAAACCGCTTTAAGCAATATTCCAGCAATATCACAGTGGGGGACACCAAAAATGGGCTTCACACATTGTACCCATGTGGGGAATCAAACCCGGGTTCTTCAGCGTGATGAGTGAATGCTTTAACCACTAGGCTACCCAACCTCCCCCTTTTTGAAATAACAAGTTCTAATGAACTAATTATGATGAGACCATTGTTCAGTGAAACTTAGTTTGAACAATTTATTTTGAATTAAATTTAGGCCTTTTTTTGTCAACCAGTTAGCTGCAGAAATCTTACCAAAGCCTTCAAGGTCATTGGTCAAAATAGAAATGACAAAAAAAACCATATTGTTATCAGTCAGGTAAAATTTCTAAGAAATGACAATGTGTTACTAATTCCTTTCCTTCATTTACCAGGTTTGTTTTTTCATGACTGAAATTAGCTCACAGACTCGTTGGAAAGATCAATGTCTGCCCTCCAAGTGCTTTGTTCATTCCATATTTGTGAAACTGTGGTTCAGAGGATGTGTAATTAAAAACCAACTGAAAATACTGTAAGGGTAACTCTAATTTCAGGGCATTATCATTTGCAGAAGCCTGAGGTCTTCCATTATCTGGCCGAGGGCAGTCGAAAAGACCGAGGGCTTCTGCAAATGATATTGCCCTGAAAAAGAGCCTTACTGTTATTATAGCTAAAATAGATGGAATTTGTTATCAAATAAACAGAAACAACAATATTGGTTTTTGAAACATTTTCTGCAATCAACACGAATGTCACTAACCCACTTTTACAAATATGGAAACGTCATAGAACAAACCAGATGACGTCACTATTGAACATGACGTTACCTATCCCTATCCTATGACGTCACCTAAAAACAGGCGTGAAAATGGCCCGTCGTCAAGTAATATGAGGGCATTATCAAGTTACAGTGGCCTGCTCATTTTTGATAGCATGCGGGGCAGTTTAATGATAATTCTATCCATTTTAGCTATTATACATATTTTATCAGACACATTGACTATTGGTACTCTAGACTAACCCAATCACCTAGTTTCACTGTATGGTAATGTAATCAACTCCCATGATGTGTGGTGACAGCTGACTGACAACAGGGATCATATGTTAAACCTGTATATTGTCTCTGTTGACAGGGCAGCTGACATCAACATCAGCTTGAACTGTGAATTAGTTGGGTATCGTATTTCCTCTATTAGACACCAGAAATCCAATACATGCAGGCATCCAATTATTGCCACTCATACCCTCGCCTTCCCCATCCAAATGCAGCCGGGTCTTGTGGGAAGCCGGGTCCAGATTTGTTGGGGTAGGGAGTTGCAACTGCATCAGTATTAAACAGAATAGACTCCGGCTTCTAACAGGCATTGGGTCAACTTCTCACGCCAAATGAACACCATCAAATAGAGGAAATACTGTATTTATTTTTATGAGTCCAGGGTACTTTCAGCAAGGAGAGGTAGGAAAATGGAGGTCCCAGGCTCAGCCAACAAGAAATGATATATGTTTGTGAAGCTTACACTAACAAAAGATTGTAGTTTCTTGCTAGAAAAAAAACTTGGTTATTGTGTGTAGGAATTGGCCAGGGACAGAAAAATGGCATATTGCATACTACCATGGTTGCAATTGATTTGAATTATGCCAACAGACATACTTGTTTGCCTTTCATGGGGCTGGCAGCGCAAACTATTTCCATCCCTTGTCAAGTTTTGTACCTACTGGACCCAATGTGATTATGTTTTGCATCTGTGAACTCAGGGCTTCCTAACAGTAACAAACATTTGGACACTGTTATCTGAGGGTGAAACGTTACATCGGTGCACCGGTACATTGTGAGTTTTCATGCGGTGATACGATAGACAATACGTTTTTTTCTGTATTGATTAAAGCCGATACACTTGCTAAAAAAAATGAACTTACTACTCATTTAATGACCTCAGAGTTTTGTCAGTCAAATACTGCAAAACATGTTGTAATTACCGTTGACTAAAAAAGCTATCAGTTCCTTTTGAACCTGCTCTGAAATATTAACAGTGAAGAAGTTTCAACATGATTTGTCATAAATATGCATATCACAATACGTACAGTATCGTGACCTATGTATCATGATAAAGAAGTTGACATCCATATATTCTCTTCCTTATGTGAATCACTTCTAAATGCCTTTCAAAGACCTAACATTGAAAGTAGTTACAAGTATATCCTTTCCAAACTGAATACCTGTACTTCTCCAGAGATCTTTATTTACTGATCGATTGTAGTCATCGCAGACATGAACTGCAGTGAATAATGTGTAAAAAGGCACTGTGTCTCACTAGGCAGTGGTAATTATTATAGGTCTCTCTCTCACTCACTCACACACACACACACACACACACACACACACACACACACACACACACAGCTACTTCGGCAAGGGTGCAAAATGGAGTTTTGTAGTCAGTTAACTCTCATGCCTCGGGAAGATGTGTTAATCACAGAGATATCTCAATGTGGAGGTTTTTTACATGTTCATTGTTCAACACTTAGGTCAGGGTACAGACAGATACAAATTAAGTGTCACAAGAACCCACAATCTAAGCAGAATTATTTTAATTAAAATTCTGCTCATTGGTGTAAAAATACCCAATGGACCGTGTCATAAATAGGCAAAGAAAGCTATCAATGCCCAATGGCTCCAAATATTATCTGGAGCGCTGATGGACTATTTAGAAATAATTAATGGTATATTCACATGAGTTTAAACAAGATAATCCACAATGTCAACCAGTTGTAATATTTCCCACCCCAATGATGATAACATATGTATGCACAATGGTAAAAAAGATATAATTTCAACTCACCCCAAGTGGCCTCTATGTTTTTGACCATTGACATGATTAGGGGCGGTCGGGTAGCCTAGTGGTTAAAGCGTTCACTCATCACCCAGAAGACCCGGGTTCGATTTCCGACATAGGTACAATGTGTGAAGCCCATTTCTGGTGTCCCCCGCCGTGATATTGCTGGAATATTGCTAAAAGCGGCGTTAAGCCATACTCACTCACTCACTCACTCACTCACTCAACAAACAACCCACTCACTCACTCACTCACTCACTCACTCAACAAACAACCCACCCACCCACCCACTCACTCACTCACTCACTCACTCACTCACTCACTCACTCACTCACTCACTCACTCACTCACTCACTGGTTAAGTGATTAAGGTCAGATTGTCTTTTTTAGGCAAGATGTGCTGTTTGTTTCCCTGTGTGATGAGTCGGTGCTTGTGTTTGTGCAGGTGGAAGGCATACAGTGTCTGGGAGGGACTGGATGTATACGCTTGTGCGCAGAATTCCTCAAGAAGATTTTCAAGTATGACACTGTCTATGTGTCAAAACCTACATGGGGTAACTAAAACATTTTCACTGATTCATTGTAATTTGGTGTATGTGTATTTACTTGAGTGTGTGAGTGAGTGAGTGAGATGTATTTTACATCATTGATTGGTAATACAGTTATACCATGGAGTGTCAGCTTGATATGGGGTGAAATTCTAAAGTGATTAGATGTTTACCACTTTGGTGAAACTTACAATGTCTAAAGCAAATTTCTGGTGTGCCCCGCTATAATATTGCTGGAATATTGCTGGAATTTTGCTAAAAGCAGCCTAAAACCATGCTCATTCACTCAACACTAGAATGCCCACATGGAACGTAGGGCAATCAAAGTAGGATGTAGAGGTTTTTGTCTGGGAATATTTTCTAACAAACTTGTGTTCAGAAAAATCCTGTAATACTATCAGCGTCTCACTCCTGTCATGCCAGTTGAGTCTTCATTGCTGTTTGTTCTTCAGGGAACCACAGGAATATCTTCAAGCATGCCAACTTCTCCAACATCAAGGAGTACCGCTACTGGGACGCCAAGACTCGAGGTCTGGACTTCGAGGGCATGCTGGAGGACCTGAATGTAAGAACATGGTGGACCAGAGGGGGGTACATGTCACCAGAACATTCATCTTGCAGCAAGCTCATTACAGTCTTAGCTTTTCCTCCGATACAATACGGGGGCACAGGTGGCCCAGTTGTCTAAGGTGCCGCAATTCGCTGTGCAGAGTTGCGTCTCTTGGGCACGCCAGAAACCTATGATTGTCGGTTGAATCCCGGTTCGCCACGATTATGTTTCTAGGTTTGTCAGCACCATACCCCTGCTCGTGGGTTTCACCGAAATGGTAAACGTCTGAGACCTGCATCACTTCAGGCTTTCCTCCCACGTTAAGCTGACACGCCATGATATAACTGGAATAATGTTAAAAGCGGCGTTAAACCTAACTCACTCACTCACTCACTCCGATACAATACCTCCACATGAAGATGTGAGGACAGCTCACTGAGTGTGTTCTAGAGCTATCAGCTGTCAGCTTTCTAAAACGATTTGGCTTCAATTTTTTACCACCTCGATTAGGAAGTTTTGATTTGTACAAATGAAAATTCACAGAGTACGCAAATATTCCTGTAATGGTACACTTGTTTAGGTGTCGATACTATTGTGCTTGGAAACTATCTCTGAAATGTCCACAATATTTCCATATTTCTTAGTTGTCATTTTTAAGATACAGAAATCCGATATGATGGTTTGAGGGCTTTGCTCACTCGTACTGAGAATTTAAAGCTTTGATGCTGATTGGCTGATAAGAAAGTTCATCCTGTGGAGGTGTCGTCAGATTTTGACACCCAAATGTATCATATCTGAGTAAACGATATGATTTTAATGAGATTGATCTAGCAGATACCGCTATTCATTAGCAATAATTTGTGTGAGGTCATGTGACATTTTTGTAGCTTGTGGTTTGTTGTATCTGATTGGCTTTGTGTTGAGTGCATACAATGGAAATCCAGCATTGCACATGTACATGTTTGTACCTGGTCTTCCTTATGGTGTACAGGGTTAGAAACTAACAGTTTTTGTCCACTAGTCCTTATGATGATAACATAGAGCAAAACCCCTCAAATGGGCCAATTTCTACTTGGCCTTGGGATACCTTTACTATTGAGCAGTTTGGTAAGGACTACAGGACTAGTGCCAATTTCTAACGCTGGGTGTACACATGGATTCTTGGGTTCACGAGCACAAAGCAGTGGAGGCGTTAATACTGTTGTGAGTCTATGTCAGCGAGGCTTAAGTGTGGGGGATCATACAGTCGTATTGCTAGTGTTCTGTTGTAGGCTGCTATTCTAATAGAGATTGTTCTTGATTTATCATCACTATGTAGGTGAAATATTGCTGATGGTGATTTTTAACAGTAAATACTAAGTCACATCGGAGTTATGCCATTGCTATATGGCTGAAATATTGCTAATGTGATGTTTATTGTTGAATATCAATTCTTTGCTATGATGTAGAGGTCTTGTGTGATGTAGAAGGTCAGGGATGTTGCGTTGAAGCACGTTGCCATGGAGATCTTGGCTCTGGCATTGTATGCTGGGAAACCTAATCATTAAGTATTGTATATTTTTTGGAAATTGAAGGTTGTCAAAGTCAGGAGATAAGGATTGTTAGCAGAGTTCTCCCTCAGACAGTTTTACTGATAAGATTGATGTGACAAGTATTTAAAAATGTATTTTACCAGAATTAGAATTGTCTGTTAAAAAATAGTTCTCAAGTTTCATAGTACAAAGAATATAAAAGCTTGTTAGAACCTGAGACATTATCTTTCAATACTTGTCACCTTTCATGCAAATCTGTTGAAATGGAAAAGGAACTAATGGATGTGGTTTGCTAATGATAACTTATAGCCATTACCGTAATCACAGTAATAAGCACCCAATGTGCTTAAACAATTGACAAATGGGGGCGCTTATTAAAAGCAAAAAATATATGCCATCTCCACTCCTGGTTCTTTTATCAAGACAAATCTGTAATGTACACAAGCAAAATACTGATATTATATTTGGTCTTAGTAGGGGGCCCATCATAAAGATTATTTACAGGTTGGTCAGAGGGTGTTTAATGGGGCAGGGCACTTACAGTATGAATACAGTATGTTACAATGGAATTGAAAATGAATATCATTTTGTTTTAATTTGTCCCTTGTATAATGACTACGATAACAATACATTCCACCAGTTTATTGTGTTTCCTTCAGTCCAACTAATTTGCTCTATATTGAACACGGTAAATTAAACTCTTCTACAGCCATTAAGTTTGTGTCTGTACCATGTGTACAGGAAGCACACTGAAACAATAGTTGAATGTTGAATGTTGTGCATATTTTGCACTGATGTATAATGGTGGTGGCCTAGAATACATGAAACTACTTGATGTAACAGGGTGCCCCAGAGAATTCGGCTGTGATCCTGCACGCTGTTGCACACAACCCTACCGGCGTCGACCCCACGGAGGAACAGTGGAAGGCCATCGCTGATGTCTGTGAGGTGAGAGGTCACAACAGACTTATTGTTTGATAGAGGGGCACGGGTGGCCCAGTCGTCTAAAGTGCTGCGATTCGCTGTGCAGAGTTGCGTCCCTTGGGCATGCCCAAAACCTATGATTGTGGGTTCGAATCCTGGTTCGCCCCAATTATGTTTCTAGGTTTGTCAGCACCATACCCGTGCTCGTGGGTTTCACCAAAGTGGTAAACATCTGAGACCTGCATCACTTCGGGCTTTCCTCCCACATTAAGCTGACACGCCGTGATATAACTGGAATAATGTTAAAAGCGGTGTTAAACCCAACTCACTCACTCACTATTGTTTGATAGGCATTACTTAGAAGTTGATGGATGACAAAGTAGACACAATTTATGGATAACAAAATCTTTAATACTGTAAAGGCAACGTTTTGGTATAGATCCTTATACTGTTGTCAAGCAAGACATGTTGTTATCCATAAATTGTGTCTACTTTGTCACAACAGATGCTTTATTCAGGGATGTAGTATGTGTCTGAGGGAGTGCAGTTTGGTTGTCACTGTTGAATTGCTTGTTGAGAAAACATTTCTTGACTTTAACATTTATATTTTGTTGAAAATGGGCGGAGCACTTTATCGTACCGGAACTCTCTGTGCAGTTTTCTCCCTTAGCTACTAATTGGTCTGCCTAAACCCACGAGTGTTTCATGATCCCGCAAAGATCTGGGGTAGAATAGGTCGTCAGTAATCAAAGCTTGTCGTAAAGGGCAACAATGCTTGTCGTTAGAGGCGACTAACGGGATCGGGTGGTCAGGCTCGCTGACTTGCATGATGCATGTCATCATATCTCAATTGCATGGATTGATGCTCATGATATCAATCACTGGATTATCTGGTCCAGACTCGATTATTTACAGACTGCTATCACGTAGCTGGAATATTGCTCTATCCACCCTTAAACAACAAACAAACAAACAAAAGTTTTTCATGAATTGTGTGCACGTCTACGGTTCACTTTGACCTTTCCTCCCATCCAAGCTTGTATTGACTGAAGTAACCTGAAACGTCATTTACACCAGTATTTCTACACAGAGGTTGTTGTGGATAGTGACTGATCACTCTCCAGTGTTAAATGCCTTGGCTGTGTATTTTGGAACTTGGAACTTATTTATAGCCTTTTTGTCTACATTTTCGTGGAGAGAAGTGACTACATTCAACTGTACAAGTTCAACGGTTTGCTCAAGTCATTGAATGATATCATGATACATGAGTGAGTGAGTACGGTTTTATGCCGTTTTTAGCAATATTCCAGCAATATCACGGCGGGGGACACCTTAAAAGGGCTTCACACATTGTACCCATGTCGGGAATCAAACCCGGGTCTTCGGCGTGACGAGCGAACGCTTAAACCACTAGGCTACCGGGCCGCCCTCATGATACATGTATTTTCAAGAGTTGAATTACATCGGGAATGCATATATTTAAGCATTTGCGCTTTTTAGCCCATGGGCTTAAGATTTAGATTTTTTTCATTTTCAAGCAACCCTCCTCCTTAGACCCCAGCAATGGAGAATTTAAGGATTTGTCGGTCAGGCTTGTAGAATTGGTTGATAAAATGGCATAATAGCCCGACATCAAGAATTTTTCTTGTAATGTAACTGCATTCATTGTCTGGTCCAGAATCCGTTATTTACAGGCTGCTGTCGTATAGCTTGAATATTGCTTAGTGTGGCGTTAAACAGAAAACAAACAAAAGCTTGTGTGCATCACCCTCTCACTTACTCACTCACTCACTCCACAGGCCAAGAAGATCTTCGTGCTGATGGACAATGCCTACCAGGGTTTTGCCACCGGGGATCTGGACCGGGATGCATTTGCTGCACGCTACTTTGTTTCACGGGGCTTCGAGTTCTTCATTGCTCAGTCTTTCTCAAAGAACTTCGGGCTGTACAGTAAGTTGAAGAAAAATCCTCAATGAATAAGTTGTCAATTTCTATTATAAGAAATTACTTTTACAGTGGCTATTTTTCTCTCATCTGCAACAGTATGTGATGGAATTAAAATGTTTTTGTTTCTAAAAATGTGTTTGCATATGATCATGATGATGGTGTATGCTTTACAAAGATAGTTTTATCAACAGCTAAAGAAATATTGCTGTTAGTTTATATGATTGTAATTTTGATTTTAAGTATATGTTTCCATGTATATCCTCTCATAAAAACTTAAGGGCGGTCGGGTAGCCTATTGGTTAAAGTGTTCACTCTTCATGCCAAAGACCCGGGTTTGATTCCCAACATGAGTACAATGGGATCAATCAGATGAAAATAACTAGATAGATTGATCATGTTGCAGAAATCGTGAAGTACAGGGAGTGAAATATACCGGTAGTCCCATAGAACTCTTCCAATATGTTTTGATGTGCTTTTTGGAATGTAACGGTGCCAACAAGGAGAAAATCTTTTTCATCCTTCTCCATCTTGAATGTAATGTCACTATCAGATTATAAGCAGCTGTAACTTCTTGCCCTTTACAGTTTCTGAAAAGTCTGTGAGGTAGCCTTGTTGTTAAAGAGCACCGAAGGTCTGGGTTCAATTCCCCACAATGGTACAGTGTGTGGAGCCCATTTCTGGTGTCACCTGCCGTGATATCATGGAATGTTGCTAAAAGCGGTGTAAATGCTGAGTCACACACTCACTACAATTTGTTTTAGAAATTATGCTGTAAATTTAAAACAGTGTATTATGTCAAAGAAATAACATCCATGAAGAAGCCAATCTCATTAAAATCAGATCTAAGTCCTCGCTGCCGCTAAAAAAAGATCTGAGGACATCCCATTATGGGTCACGTCAGAACGACCTTTCGGTAACTTTGACCGACCACTGAAACGTCTAACAAGAAATCGACATCAGCCAATCAGAAAGCAGCTTTCTCAAGCTTAACGGCACTCGTTTCAACCGGGTGACTTCCATGAAAAATATGTTGACTCTGTTTAAAATTCTGAAAACCGAACAAACAAACATTCCGGAATGTCTAATAAATGGTTGAGATTGTATGGCAGTGCTTCTCACTTACTGTGCAACGCCTCCTCTGTTCAAATGTTTATCCAATGGAAGCGAGAGATAGACAATAATTTTGACGGAATCAGTCGTACAGGCCGCAACTGTTGTTCGGAATACCCCGTGTTAACATTTTCGAAGTTGCATATTTAGTAAACACATTCCGACGGTCATTTTCATGATCTGGTAAGCGACGCTTTGATTGGTTGGATGAAAGGTCGTTCTGACGTAACCCGTTATGGTATGTCCTCAGATCTTTGTTTAGCGATAGCGACAACTAAGATCTGATTTTAGTGAGATTGTGAAGAATCAGTTCCTTGCCTGGATAGTAATCATGGTAACATTTCACTTGTGTTCCAGATGAGCGTACAGGTAACTTGTGTATTGTGGCCAAGTCCTCCGAGGTCATCAGCCAGGTGAGGTCGCAGTGCGAGATCCTTGTCAGAACCATGTGGTCCAACCCCCCCAACCATGGCGGTCGAGTCGTTGCGACTGTCCTCAACAACAAGTCTTCATACGCTGAATGGTGGGTGTTCACTAAGGAAATTGCCATATTCAACGTAATAAGCGCCCAGGCCGCGCTCAAAAATTTGAAATAGGGCCTCTTATTAGAATATTATTTTGGTGGAAAAAACAGAGTTGAAAGATAAATTTCGTGGTTTATGCTGACAGCCTGAACTGTTTATATACGACAGATATATTTTTCCTGAATTTAATTGCCCATAATTAAGGGTGTATATAACACACACGTGTGTATTATACACAAATAAATAAGTCTTGTGTACATTGATCAATCGGAAGGGGTGCTAATTGGGATTGTTCACTTGCCAATATATTAGCAAATATCGCCGTGAGCGCTTATTAGAGCGGTGCTCTTATTATGTCAAATACGGTAGAAGCATTTTTTATCACAGAGTGGCACTCATTCCATATATGAGATTAATCATTGTCTTGACTCACCACAGACCCATTTTGAGTAGCCTGGTAGTTCAAGTGTTCGTCCATCAGGCTTAAGACCCAAGTTTGATTCCTCATACGGCTATAATGTATCAAGTGAAAATTGATCTCCAATTAAATTACATTTTGAAACAGTCCTGGGCCCACTTGCACAAAACGATCTTATCGCTAAGATGATCGTAACTCCCATATTTTAACATAGGCTTACGATAGTCGTAGCGCAAAGATCGCTTTGTGCAAGTGGGCCCTGATGTTAATCAGTTACTGACGGTGCCTGTATTTCAGGAAGGACCAGGTAAAGACGATGGCTGACCGCATCCAGATGATGAGGAAGCTGATGTTCGAGAAGCTCCGGGCCAAAGGGACTCCTGGTACATGGGATCACATCATTAAGCAGATTGGCATGTTCTGCTACACTGGGCTCAATGGTAAGATGTTCTGGCACAATACCAAGCAGGGACCATGGCATCTTCCCCAGGCTATCATGTCCAATAGCCTTTATCAAGCCTAGTTTCTATACCAAGGCCACTTTTCTTGGCTCAACCCTGGTGCCACCTTGCATCGAGCAGAAGTTGTGCCCCTTGTAATGAAAACGTGATATCCAATCAGATCGCTGTTCTTGTCTCGAATAGCTTCACAAATAGCTACCATAGGCGACAACTTAGTCGATCAGATAACGAAAACATTTGTGATTTCATCTCTGACACAAAAACATAGGCAATCGTTGGGGGCTTTAAAGTTGAAAAAAACATATTCATGTCAACAAACACAGCCAGCGGTAAATCACTTTCATATGACTGTGTACCAGTCCTGGATGTTGATTTTGTGAAACGTTCTCTGATTGGACTATCCATATGTGCGATCGTCCAATCATATTTAGCACAGGAAAGTGGGCTTGATGTGGCAAGGGTGGAAACAAGACATTGGTGGCACAGTTGCCTAAGGCACTGTAGAAGACTTAAATCTCTTCAAGGTTCCAGAATCTGCTGATGATCCTCTGAGAATCATTATCATCCTCCATTTCTCAGCACCACACCAATGCTCATTGCACAGCAAGTGCTGTAGGCCACTGCACAAGCCCACCCTATGATGCACTATGTCTATCTTGCATTCTCCCTTGTAAATGCTGTATTTTGTTGTTAAGGATATATTTTTGAAACTTGTTTCATTTCTAAGGAAGCAATGTTGGTGATATTTGGACAATATGTTCATTTTTGGGGAAAATGATTAATGTACGTTTTGAAAGGGAAATACAGATTTAAAGTGTCAGAACTTACAAATGTCAGACTCAGTGTTTGTATGTCAGTGATAAAATCCTTGAATTTGGAAATAGTAGCTATATTGGACAGATTTGATTTGGTTAAGACACAAAAATAGAACATTCTCTTGACCAGTGTAAAGAACCTCTTCCCGAGACAAGGGAGTTAACTGTCTGTAAAAGTCAAGTTTTCACCTTGCTGAACTAGCCTGGAATTTCATGGCTCGATTGTAGCGCCACCAGTGGTGATTATAAGTTGTGTCCCTTCTATTGACCAATCGGATTCCATCTCTTATATCACTTGCATTTGCTTCAAAGACAATGGCGGCGCCCAGTCTTACCTCGTGAAGTACATTACTTGAGCACTTTGATAAAAAACATGATAATATTTGGAAAACATCTCGACGCTCAGTTGATGGTACACATGCTCTGCAAATCCTTCAATCGACCAAAATCTGCACAGCAGTCGTCATGTTGTTAATGAACCGAATGTCGATTTCGTTATGCTGTGCATAGACTCATCCAGCCAAAATATAACTCCATAATTCCAGCCTAGTTTGGCAAGGGTGGAAAGTGCACTTTAACAGTCAGTTAATTCACTTGCCTTGAGAGGATGTGTTAAGAAATGTTTCTTACCTTCTCAGTCATTGCATTTCTTTGCCTAAAGCATATATAAAAGCTTCTCCCCTGCTAACACAACTTTATAATCATTGTCTAGACTTCTCCCATACATAATGCTTAAAACATGATTACTTCACCTGTGAAGATCTGAGTTCGAATTGATCTTCAGCAGCCCATGCTTGTTGTAAGAGGCGACCACAAGATTGAGTGGTCAGGCTTGCAGACTTGGTTGAAGCTTGTCATCATATCCCAAATTGCATAGGTCAATGCTCATGATGTCAGTCACAGGGTTGTCTTGGGCCCGATGCGATTATTTACAGACTGCTGTCATATAGCTGAAATATTCCTGAGTGCGGCATTAAACATCAAACATCTACTGTTCAAAGCAGTGTTAAACCAAACTCGCTACCTTATTAAAACTGTCTCTCCTCGCCCCATGCTTACTGCTGCTGCTGCTGCTGCTGCTGCTCACCAGACTATACGTTGTATTTCAGTTGATCAGGTGGGACATCTCCTTAGCAAGTATCACATCTACCTCCTAAAGGAGGGCCGCATCAACATGTGTGCCATCACAACCAAGAACGTTGACTACGTTGTAGAAGCCATACACGACGCTGTAACCAACGTTTGAAATCAAGAGTGTGTCCAGTAAAACTAGTAGCCGTCATTTTTCTTTCCAGCTGCCCAAGTTGAACATCTTATCAACAAGTTTCACATTTATCTAACGTCAGAAGGGCGAATCAACGTGTGTGGACTGACCACGAGCAATATGGACTATGTTACGTCCGCGATTGCTGATACAATGATCACAGTCCCTTCCAAGTTGTAGAGGTAGTGCCTGCTGCCATTGTTATTAACCAGATGCTGGTCTAACAGTAATATATTCCTGTTACAGTCAATCCCCAGTGATATAATTGTGATATTTGACAATGTGGATTTATAATTCCTCCTATGTTAACCTGTTACACAGACATGTTTCTCAGTTCTATGACAAATGTGTGGATAGATTTTGTAGCAGTTTACAGATTTGTTATTCAGATTATTATTTGTAAATATTATAACTACATCATGAAAAAGAGTATTTACTTGTTTGCTCAAATAGATACAACTATTGTCATGTTAGCCAGGCCAAGCAAATATGTTTATTTTATATATACATTTTCGGTCAGAAACTACAGAATATTAGTAAGAGGAACTTCTTACAAATATCTTAAAATTAAGGCTTTAAACAAATACAAACCCATTTCTTTACCAAAGAGCATATTTTTAACCAAAGTGACTCACTTTTAGCATTTCCGATTACCAACCCAAATAGATTCAATAAGTCTAAAACTATAGTGGGTATTGGTGGTCCAGTCATCTATTAAAGTGCTGACAGTGACTATGCAGAGTTGCTTCCCTTAGGCTTGCTAGAAACCTATGATCTTGGAATCGGAACCCGGTTTGACATGATTATGTTCTAGGTTTTTCAGCACCATAGCTGTGCTCGGGGGTTTCTCTAAATTTGTAAAGGTGTGCCTTGAATAATTTCGGACTTTCTATTGACATTTAGTTGACACGCATGATGTAACTGAGATACTGTTCAAACAGCTTTAAACCAAAGACGTATATAGAATAATATTGTATATACGTCCATGTTTAAACCAAACTCTCGATACACACTAAAACTAAAGGATCTTGAATATTGAGTCATCCTTGCTTTAGTGCTGACACAAACTGATTTTATTTAAATCGAAACATTTGTGAGGATGAATTACATTTGCATGCAGCTGTGTACCTTCAAGGTTGGTGTGGAAACATTATTGTTCGTTTTATTTGTTTTAAATTCAACAGTAAAGACCAAATGAATAGAGACCAAGCACACATTTTGTCCTGATTTGTCATCACTGAGTTGAAACATGTTAATATTATTGAACTACTTACAATATTTGATCCAATAAGATTTTGCTGATCAAAGTCAAGCAGATAACTCAAAAGTAAGGGAGATAACTGTCAGGTTTAATTGTCTATTCAGACTTTGCTTGGCTTCATAAATCAACTGCTATTAGCTGTAATAGGTATCCATAGGTGGGTGTTTCTATGAAGTACATTTATATGGTTGGTATGTGAACGGTTTTATCTGTCAAATGTTCTCTTCATTTCAGAAATAATTCCTTTTTATCAGTTGAACAAGAATTACGATCATGATAACTGGTGCCTATGTAGGCACATCTTGAATGTATTGATGTATATTCTGTAGATCAGATACCCCTGTATGCTGGCCAAATTTCTATCACAGGTACAGTCAGAAACACATGGAGATGACCTAATATGTCAATCTGTCTTTTGTTTGAAATATATTTTGTACAGTAAAATATGAAAGTGACTTTGCAGGTAAAAATGTCCTCCACTATATTGACATTAATACTCAATTTCATGCTACAAATGTCATGTTAAGTGGTATAAGGCTATTTCTATAAGTTTCTGACAGGGTTTGTGTGTGCTAAGATTGACTACTTAAAAGTGTTCACAGTTATAAGCCTGTTTGTCTTCACACTGTCCTATTAACTAGAGTGATTTGTCTTTCTTCATCGCAGCAGTTTGTGTTGCTTTTGTATTGGTATGACAACGTATGAAATTGCATGAGACTCACCTGGAAGTTGAAATTTGATTATGATTTGATTGTGATTAGATTTGGCACCTGGTCCTGCCAGTCCGTCGAGCTTGTCAGAGATCACAGGTGACCCCTTCAGTGTCATTGTTTTGACGCTTTCATCTAACCACGACTGTTGGCAATATTGGTCAAAAGTGCAACAAAGCACACATTTGTAGCAGGTAATTACAACTGGTACCTTATCGCAAAATTGTGACAACAGAAAATCTGAAACATTGATATGAGTGGTAAATAAAAATTTACAACAGGAAGTGATCAATCCTGAAAGGTCTCATAGGGAGGAGGATGCGGACATACTCATGTTGCTGCTTGTTGAAGTAATACGTTTCACAAAAGAGACATTGGTAGAATAGCAGTCCTTCTGCATGGAACTTAGAATTTTAGTGTTCTTTGGATCATGTAAAGTACTTGATAAAGATTTAGTGTTTGTTATTGTAGTATGCATGGTGAGTTAAGCCATTTATGTAGGAACCAAATATTTACATATATCTGTTTGTGATGATGGACTGTTACAATAATATATGAACATCATTAAATGAGACTCTCACATGTGCGATTAAACTTTTGTTTTATTGCGATGAGATGAATACAGAACCAATCGGTCAAGAACCATGTTTGATTTGATGTTGTATGAGATTACATATTTGTTTTGTTCAGAGTGAAAGGGAAGCACTCATCGAAGGTGCCACAATTTACTGTGCAGAGTTGTGTCCCTTTGGTATACCAGAAATCGATGATTGTTGCTCTTAATCACAGATTTGGGCTCATTTTGTCGCAAGTTTTGGTACACCATAACTGTGTTCATGGGATTCACCAAAGTGGTAGACATCTGAGACCTGTGTCATTTCGGGCTTTCCTCCTAAATTTGACTTGACCGCTGTGATATAACTGAAATACTGTCCAACATGGTGTTAAGAAAACACAATCAGAACGAAAGTGTTATCGGGTCTGTTGCTATGTTCATATATAATGAAATCACCTCCTGAGGTTTCTTCACATATGCTCTAGGGCTAAACCTTTTGCTCATTTGAGTGAGTGAGTTGGGTTAAACTTCGCTTTTAACAGTATTCCAGTTATATATTAACAGTATTATTCAAGTTATATCACCGCATGTCAGCTTAATGTGGGAAGAAAGCCGAAGTGATGCAGGTTTTAGATGTTTACAACTTCAGTGAAACCCGCAAGCACGGGTATGGTGCTGACAAAACTAGAAACATAACCGGGGCGAACCTGGATTCAAACACAGGTTTCTGGCGTGCCCAAGGGATACAACTCTGCAAAGCGAATCGCGTTGCCTCAGACGACTGGGCCACCATTGCCCCAATACTCATTTGAACACACAAGACTATGTGATAATGATTGCATGATCCGACTTTACAATATGGGACATGACACTACAATAATTGACATGAGGTGAGGTGGGTGTGGTGAAATGAGTTTTAACATTGCGTCCAAGATTATTGCATTTATATTGCGATTTGCATGCACATGAGTGTGGATGCTTGTACTAATCCAGGGGGGCACGGGTGGCTCAGTCATCTAAGGCACCGTAATTCGCTGTGCAGAGTTGCGTACCTTGGGCACGCCTGAAACCTATGATTGTGGGTTAGAATCCCGGTTTGACCCAATTATGTTTCTAGGTTTGTCAGCACCATACCTGTGCTCGTGGGTTTCACCAAAGTGGTAAACGTCTAAGACCTGCATCACTTCAGTCTTTCCTCCCACATTAAGCTGACATGCCGTGATATAACTGTAATACTATTAAAAGTAGCGTTAAACAAAACTGACTAGCTAACTGTACTAGTCCAGACTAATACCAGTTCTATTGTGCTAGCCAACTGAGATACCATGCTACAGTTAAACATGAATACCCAACTTGACACAGTACACTGACTCCGAGGCGACCAGTCCTTGTTTTAGCCCTTTAATGCTGAGTACCAGACAGGGTAACAACAAGTACCATCTTTTAACATCTTCTAGTAGGACGTGCCCGGGGATCAAACCAGCTCTCCGGGCGGACAGTCTACCACTAGACCACGGAGGCCTTCTGGTTAGTTGGAGGAACAAAGTTGGGACATAAATCGAAATAGCCGCTGGTGGTGAAAGAACCCAGGAATACCAGCCAATACTTTTACAGTCAGTTCACTACCTTGCCTCGGGAAGATGCACACGTGAATGAGACTCCCGATAGGTGACGTTACAGTGAATGAGACACTTGTCAGGTGACGTTACAGTGAATGAGACACTTGTCAGGTGACGTTACAGTGAATGAGACACTTGTCAGGTGACGTTACAGTGAATGAGACACTCGTCAGGTGACGATACAGTGAATAAGACGCTCGTCAGGTAACAATACAGTGAATAAGACACTCGTCAGGTGACGATACAGTGAATGAGACTCCAGATAGGTGACGTTACAGTGAATGAGACGCTCGTCAGGTGACGATACAGTGAATGAGACGCTCTTCAGGTGACGATACAGTGAATGAGACACTCTTCAGGTGACGATACAGTGAATGAGACACTCGTCAGGTGACTTTGCAGTGAAAGAGACCCTCGTCAGGTGACGATACAGTGAATGAGACACTCGTCAGGTGACGATACAGTGAATAAGACGCTCGTCAGGTAACGATACAGTGAATAAGACACTCGTCAGGTGACGATACAGTGAATGAGACTCCAGATAGGTGACGTTACAGTGAATGAGACGCTCGTCAGGTGACGATACAGTGAATGAGACGCTCGTCAGGTGACGTTGCAGTGAAAGAGACCCTCGTCAGGTGACGATACAGTGAATGAGACAATCGTCATGTGACATTACAGTGAATGAGACACTCGTCAGGTGACGTTGCAGTGAAAGAGACACTCGTCAGGTGACGTTGCAGTGAAAGAGACACTCGTCAGGTGACGATACAGTGAATGAGACATTCGTCAGGTGTCGATACAGTGAATGAGACGCTCGTCATGTGACCTTACAGTGAATGAGACTCGTCACGTGACATTACAGTGAATGAGACAATCGTCAGGTGACGTTGCAGTGAAAGAGACGCTCGTCAGGTGACGATACAGTGAATGAGACTCGTCAGGTGACGATACAGTGAATGAGACAATCGTCATGTGACATTACAGTGAATAAGACACTCGTCAGGTGACGATACAGTGAATGAGACTCCAGATAGTTGACGTTACAGTGAATGAGACGCTCGTCAGGTGACGATACAGTGAATGAGACGCTCTTCAGGTGACGATATAGTGAATGAGACACTCGTCAGGTGACGATACAGTGTATGAGACGCACGTCAGGTGACGATACAGTGAATGAGACACTCGTCAGGTGACGATACAGTGAATGAGACAATCGTAATGTGACCTTACAGTGAATGAGACACTCGTCAGGTGACGTTGCAGTGAAAGCGACTCCCGATAGATGACCTTACAGTGAATGAGACACTCGTCAGGTGACCTTACAGTGAATGAGACATTCGTCCGCTGACGTTACAGTGAATGAGACACTCGTCAGGTGACGTTACAGTGAATGAGAAACTCGTCAGGTGACGATACAGTGAATGAGACTCTCGTCAGGTGACGTTACAGTGAATGAGACGCTCGTCAGGTGACGATACAGTGAATGAGGCACTCGTCAGGTGACGATACAGTGAATGAGACACTCGTCAGGTGACGTTTCAGGGAAGGAGACTTTCCATAGGTGACCTTACAGTGAATAAGACACGAAGTGAGTGAATAAAAATGGGTGGCAAATGTCTTTGTCTTTGTTTGTTGTTTAACGCCACACTCAGCAATATTCCAGCTGTGTGACGGCAGTCTGTAAATAATCGAGTCTGACATGCATCAGCCAAGTCAGCAAGCCTGACCACCCGATCCCGTTAGTCAAACATTACATGCGATAACATGACACTTTCAGCGGCAATAAGACAATATTTATTTAATGTATACCTTTTACAATCCATGCATTGTCACGTAGTTCGTACAGTACGTGCCACACTGTAAGGTAGCTAAGTCACCTCGTTTTGCGTGGCGCTATTTTCAGCATTAAATAGTGACAGCCAAAATATGTAAACTTTTTACGCCCTCAATGAAAAAACTTCCTGGTCTGGCGGGGCTTTGACGGGCAAGGATTTCCATTGTCAAGCTACAATTATTAACCTATATGAAGGCGACGGGACATATACTTCCTTGTTTAACACAGCCAACTATGCGGCTCAGACATGGATCGGTTGAAATAGCAAATCACGGACAATAATCCTGTTGATGGAGAAACTTGAGAACATCACATTGTGTGGTGATGGTTATACCCTACCGACAGACTGTCTATCTCTATGGATGGTGGTGTCGAGTGAAGCACATACCGTACGTACCAATACATTGAGACAGGTGTGCCAATATAACTTACAATATAACGATTTACCAGCTCTGACTGTTAAGTGTTGGTGTGTCAGCATACACCTTGTGGTATCCAGTGCTCCAACCAAAGGCAACAGCTAGGCCTTCTTTGCCTGTGTTGGTGTGTCAGCATACACCTTGTGGCATCCAGTGCCCCAACCAAAGGCAACAGCTTGACCTTCTCTGTCTGTGTTGGTGTGTCAGCATACACCTTGTGGCATCCAGTGCCCCAACCAAAGGCAACAGCTAGGCCTTCTCTGTCTGTGTTGGTGTGTCAGCATACACCTTGTGGCATCCAGTGCCCCAACCAAAGGCAACAGCTTGACCTTTTCTGTCTGTGTTGGTGTGTCAGCATACACCTTGTGGCATCCAGTGCTCCAACCAAAGGCAACAGCTAGGCCTTCTTTGCCTGTGTTGGTGTGTCAGCATACACCTTGTGGCATCCAGTGCCCCAACCAAAGGCAACAGCTTGACCTTCTCTGTCTGTGTTGGTGTGTCAGCATACACCTTGTGGCATCCAGTGCCCCAACCAAAGGCAACAGCTAGGCCTTCTCTGTCTGTGTTGGTGTGTCAGCATACACCTTGTGGCATCCAGTGCCCCAACCAAAGGCAACAGCTTGACCTTTTCTGTCTGTGTTGGTGTGTCAGCATACACCTTGTGGCATCCAGTGCTCCAACCAAAGGCAACAGCTTGACCTTCTCTGTCTGTGTTGGTGTGTCAGCATACACCTTGTGGTATCCAGTGCTCCAACCAAAGGCAACAGCTAGGCCTTCTCTGCCTGTGTTGGTGTGTCAGCATACACCTTGTGGTATCCGGTGCTCCAACCAAAGGCAACAACTTGGCCTTCTCTGCTGTCTGTATTGGTGTGTCAACTCAGCCCTTGTGTCATTCAGCGCACTTACCAACAGCAAGGGAGCGGCCTTCTCTGTCTGTGTTGGTGTGTCAGCATACACCTTGTGGTATCCGGTGCTCCAACCAAAGGCAACAGCTAGGCCTTCTCTGTCTGTGTTGGTGTGTCAGCATACACCTTGTGGTATCCAGTGCTCCAACCAAAGGCAACAGCTAGGCCTTCTCTGCCTGTGTTGGTGTGTCAGCATACACCTTGTGGTATCCGGTGCTCCAACCAAAGGCAACAGCTTGGCCTTCTCTGTCTGTGTTGGTGTGTCAGCATACACCTTGTGGTATCCAGTGCTCCAACCAAAGGCAACAGCTAGGCCTTCTCTGCCTGTGTTGGTGTGTCAGCATACACCTTGTGGTATCCGGTGCTCCAACCAAAGGCAACAGCTTGGCCTTCTCTGTCTGTGTTGGTGTGTCAGCATACACCTTGTGGCATCCAGTGCCCCAACCAAAGGCAACAGCTTGGCCTTCTCTGTCTGTGTTGGTGTGTCAGCATACACCTTGTGGTATCCAGTGCTCCAACCAAAGGCAACAGCTAGGCCTTCTCTGCCTGTGTTGGTGTGTCAGCATACACCTTGTGGTATCCGGTGCTCCAACCAAAGGCAACAGCTTGGCCTTCTCTGCCTGTGTTGGTGTGTCAGCATACACCCTGTGGCATCCAGTGCGCCAACCAAAGACAGCAGCTTGGCCTTCTCTGCCTGTGTTGGTGTGTCAGCATACACCTTGTGGCATCCAGTGCTCCAACCAAAGGCAACAACTTGGCCTTCTCTGCTGTCTGTATTGGTGTGTCAACTCAGCCCTTGTGTCATTCAGCGCACTTACCAACAGCAAGGGAGCGGCCTTCTCTGTCTGTGTTGGTGTGTCAGTATACACCTTGTGGTATCCGGTGCTCCAACCAAAGGCAACAGCTTGGCCTTCTCTGCCTGTGTTGGTGTGTCAGCATACGACTTGTGGCATCCAATGCTCCAACCAAAGGCAACAGCTTAGCCTTCTCTGTCTGTGTTGGTGTGTCAGCATGCACCTTGTGGCATCCAGTGCTCCAACAAAAGGCAGCAGCTTGGCCTTCTCTGTCTGTGTTGATGTGTCAGGGTACACCTTTTGGCATCCAGTGCCCCAACCAAAGGCAGCAGCTTGGCCTTCTCTGTCTGTGTTGGTGTGTCAGGGTACACCTTTTGGCATCCAGTGCCCCAACCAAAGGCAACAGCTTGACCTTCTCTGTCTGTGTTGATGTGTCAGGGTACACCTTTTGGCATCCAGTGCTCCAACCAAAAGCCACAGCTAGGCCTTCTCTGTCTGTGTTGATGTGTCAGGGTACACCTTTTGGCATCCAGTGCTCCAACCAAAGGCAGCAGCTTGGCCTTCTCTGTCTGTGTTGATGTGTCAGGGTACACCTTGTGGCATCCAGTGCGCCAACCAAATGCAAGAGCTTGGCCTTCGCTGTATGTGTTGGTGTGTCAGCATACACCTTGTGGTATCCAGTGCTCCAACCAAAGGCAACAGCTAGGCCTTCTCTGTCTGTGTTGATGTGTCAGGGTACACCTTTTGGCATCCAGTGCTCCAACCAAAGGCAGCAGCTTGGCCTTCTCTGTCTGTGTTGGTGTGTCAGCATGCACCTTGTGGCATCCAGTGCTCCAACCAAAGGCAACAGCTTGGCCTTCGCTGTATGTGTTGGTGTGTCAGCTTAGCCTTTGTGGCATCCAGTGCACTTATCAAGCAGGGTAGCGGCCTTCTGTCTGTGTTGGTGTGTCAGCATACACCTTGTCGATTCCAATTCCCCACAAACAACGGCAGCTTAGCCTTATCTAGCTGTGTAAGTGTGACAGCTCACACCTTGTGACAATGTAGTCGATGGTTCTCTAGCAACGATCCAGTAGTTGGAATACGACAACGTCCCTCGCAATCGGTGTACGATGACACGTAATCAAATAAAGTCAATACGTTTGACCTGCCGATCAATTCACCACCCCAAACGACAGGCATAGGAAGATAGGGATTTCCTATTGTTATCTGTGTATAGAGTGGGTGTGACGTCGTACTGTCGGTCATGGCGACAGGCCGTGGTAGTGCTGATAACTTGACATTCAACAAAACATTCTAGATCTAACTTTAGGATCTGATGTCCCATCAGACTACTGAGTTTAAGGATGTGTTGCAGCTAGGATATCATATCACGTAAACATAGATGTTTTGACAGTATCTGAAGGTCCTTCCAAGGGCTGTTGTGTGTGTGTGTGTGTGTGTGTGAGAGAGAGAGAGAGAGAGAGAGAGAGAGAGAGAGAGAGAGAGAGAGAGAGAGAGAGAGAGAGAGAGAGAGAGAGAGAGAGTGAGTGAGTGGGTGAGTGAGTGTGTGTGAGTGTGGTGTGTGTGTGTGTGTATGTGTTTGTGGTGGTGTGTGTGGTGGTGGTGGTGGTGGTGTGTGTGCTGTTTGTGTGTGTATGGTGTATGTGGTCAAAGGTATGTGTTTGGTGTGTGGTATGTGGTATGTGAGTGTGGTGGTGGTGTGTGTGCTTTTTGTGTGTGTGGTGTATGTGGTGGTGTGTGTGGTCAGAGGTATGTGTGTGGTTTGTGGTATGTGGTGTGTGTGTGTGTGGTGATGGTGGTGGTGTCTGTGTGTGGTGGTGGTAGTGTGTGTGCTATTTGTGTGTGTGGTGTATGTGGTTTGGTTATTATCTATAATTGCTTATCCTTAAGCTATTGTGCTGTCACCATTAAAATCTCGTTTTAAGACGATGTGCCATATTCCCGGCAATTTAGATCTCCGTGTGTCACGAACTACAGACAACGCGACATATATTTTCTCGATCTCGAGTTTACAATTATATTTGCACTTTCAAACAGGCGACATGGGGTTTTCGACTTCACACGACGTGATCTAATTGAAACACTTTACTTTTTAAGATCAGGTCAATATTCGAAATAACGATTACGGGATAAAGACGTTTCCTGAGTCAATAATGTATTTATTGTTGTTAGTGAATGGGCGAATTTTATCGCCGCAACCAGCAACATGTCTACTACTTCCCGTCGGTCTTGAAATGATCGAGTCCGTACCAGGCAAACCAGTGACTGAAAACATGAGCAACGACCCATGACGATGACGTATGCGATGGCGCACCATCGGCTTAGTTACAGAGCCGTGTATTCCAAGCCTCACATTAGTCGGCCTTACGACCTGGGACCTATATATATTCTGATTCCCACAGAGTTGACCGTCATAAGCTCGCAACCCTCTTCCATCTCAACCAGACAATTGTGCATGTTCCTGATGAAAAAGGATAAAAGACATTACAGGATCTTCAGGCATTAATAGAAAAAAACATTATTTAGTACATACACAAACCGGATTATTTCCTTTTGACACATATTGTGTAACCTAAAATAACCACACCTTCAGTGGACTTCAGTCCTTAAGAAACTTTTATCACTTAAATGTCTGTAAAAACATGTGTGTTCATTAAGAGTGAATCTTAAGCTTATCTTTCGTTAAGACCGCACGTCATGTTCGTGAAGTCCGCAACCGCAGACTAATCCAGTTTGACATTCATAAAAGTAACGAAGCACTTTTATATTTCTGATATCTTTCGAGCTTTTTCTTTAATCGGAGAAAAGTATATATTTCGGACACCATTAGTGCATGTTTTGTAACTAATTTCTTTAGATTTCTTCTAAAAGTACAGAAGTAAATAGATTATTTTTTTAAAATGATGTTTAAATTTATGGAAATAGGTATTAAAATTTGCTCCGACCCATCTTTCAAGAGTGAGTGAGTGAGTGAGTTGGGTTTAACGTCGCTTTTAACAGTATTCCAGTTATATCACGGCGTGTCAGCTTAATGTGGGAGGAAAGCCCGAAGTGATGCAGGTCTTAGACGTTTACCACTTCAGTGAAACCCACGAGCACGGGTATGGTGCAGACAAATCTAGAAACATAATCGTGGCGAAACGGGATTGGAACCACAATCATAGGTTTCTGGCATGCCCAAGGGACGCAACTCTGCACAGCGAATCGCGGCGCCTTAGACGACTGGGCCACCCGTGCCCCAACTTTCAAGAGAAAACCCTCCTGTTGATTCAGGGGAAATAACCTTCCGGGCAAAAGAAAATATATACACTTTAAAATTGGAATTGACCAAAACATTACAAAACATTACAAATAAAATCGTTTCTAGGTCGAAAACATATGCAAACATAAGGTTCAAAACACAGCTGTGATGCGAGTTTCAGTCACATCGCCATCAAATAACCATTTCTTGTTTGCTTCATTTATAGCTACCATCAAACATGGCTGTATACTTGTTATTGACGTCAGTTTTTTCTGTCCCAGTAACCCATGTACCGCATTAGCCGACTAATGAGGATTGGTTGGTTACAATTTGTGACCTGGCTGATTGTGTGTCATCGTACCCCGACGGCTTGGCTCGATGCTCATGCTATCAACCACTGGCGAACCAAGCCCGGGTACTATTAATTACAGGTAGCCGTGGTATAGCTGGTGCAGGATTGCTTGGCGTAAAAAGCATCCACTCACCCACGAGAGAAAATTCTTAAACAATGAGACTATTATTGTTTTGTCAAAACTCCGTCCTTTCTAACAGCCAGTCAGTCAACCCTGTAAGGTGCACGTTGGTTAACATTCAAAAAGGTAAAATTCACGTTCATGTAATGTGATATTATGGCTGGTTCACAACGTGTATTCCACAACGTGGGAACGGTTCAGAATAAACCGCGGCTGCGGGAACGGGTCGTCACACCACGACTCAAGTCCGCGTATACGACGTGACAACGACTCCAGCGAGGCACATATTTGGATGAAATAAGGTAAATAAAAATAGTTTCTCCACGTCACGTTTTCACAACAATTTAGCGAAGAGGTCGACAAACAACGCCGTTTTTGTCACTCAACACACTTAACCATCCAGCCCCCCGTTAATGTTAACATTGAGAAAAATATTACGCTGTTAAGGCTTCTTAACCTGTGGAATTTGCAACCCAAGCCCTAAGACGATTTAATAAAGAGGATGAATATGTTAAAAAACTCCAGCCGAACATAAATAGCTGCCTTTTTCAAGTTTAAACAATTTAGGACACTTAAAATAAATCAATTCACAAATAATGTTAAAAGATGTAAGTTCTCCATTCAAATTTCGTTAAAACAATTACAGTGATATTTCAATATATGATTTTCATACCGTTATGATATCGGATGCATATGGATACATGTAAATTGTACACATGAATTTACAATTAAATATGTGTAAGGTGCCCGGTGTATTTGCAAGGGGGCGGGGGAGTTTGTGTGAAGGGGGAGGGATTGGGATGCCTCTATCCTACCATAACGAGTCTGTGGACCGGGGCATGACGGCCGCGTTGTCTTCTGACGACAGTAGCCGAGCGAGGATCAATGTACGCGAACGAAGCTTGGGTTTTAGTTCAACGTGAAAGAAGTCTGATGCAACTTGCTAAACCAGTTTTATGCCATTTTGTGTCAAAATCCTTTTGCAAGCGGAATGAATGTAAACCTACATGGCGCCAACCACGTGACGTGTCTCAGCTGAAGCCGAAATACCAACCCGGAAGAGAAATGTACGGGTATGTGCTATCGACAACCGCTGTCGGATACTTCAAAATAGCAGCTGACAGAAAACCCGATCACGTCACATTTCATATTCTACTGTAAAAGTGGACACTTCTATCGTTTACTAAAGGTAAGACGTTTATTCATTGTAGTTTTTATAGGTCACCGTGTTACCTTGTCTTCAGGTGGGTGATTGGGTTTGGGGCATAGTCGTACCTGAATATGTAGCACGCATTTTATCACTGTTGAAGTGAACGCACTTCGATTAGGCGTATCGATCATATCATGTGTGTATCACAGCACAAGCTGTTTCAGGTATATGACGAACAGGTGTGCTTCGCGAAGCATAAACCTACTGACGATATACATAGGTAGTTATTTAATATTCCCTGCTATTGTGTGTATAGGACGACCTAGTAGGTTGAGCTCTCAAGCTGACGGTGTACATTCACCCTGCTGTATTTAAGACGACCAGCTAGGGTTAGTTCCCAAAGCTCGATAACATTAACAGGCTGTCTTAAATATTGACGACGTTCACGCGTTGGGAGTAGGGGCCGCTACTTGCCAAGATCCCACCAACCTGCCACAATGCCACAATCACCACACACCGATGTCAGTCTGTGTCGATCGATATGGAAACTCGCTTTTGTTTACCCATATATAAATATGTGATAAGCAGCAGAACTGGTCCGCTTTGAACAAACCACAGCAATAGGTATACAATAGAAGAGATAGGGACACAACAATTTTGGGTCACCGTCTTCACTCGCTGTCATATACATGCGTCGCTATACACAGTGTGTATATTCACGTTCAGTATAGCTGAATATAGTACGATAGGCTGATGGAGTCAGTTAAACTTCCTAACGCTGACGCACATATGGGCAGCCTCGTGTGAGTACGAGTTAGGGTCCGTGTCAGACACGAAAGTTATAGTCTATAGTAAAGTGGGGCTGTAGAGCGTAACGTCAGTATACTCATGGGCTGAAACAACGGAACATGCAAAAGAGGAAGCATTCGTTGGACAGTCACGAGAATTGTATGTGCGGTGCCACATCGGGCTAATATCATACACCATGTTTATTACATGTACATTCAAAAATATTCTACAAGTAGGATGGCAGGACTAGAGTGAGTGAGTGAGTGAGTATGGTTTAACGCCGCCTTTAGCAATATTCCAGCAATATCACGGCGGGGGACACCAGAAATGGGCTCCACACATTGTACTTATGTCGGGAATTGAACCCGGGTCTTCTGTGTGACGAGCGAACGCATTAACCGCTAGGCTACCCGATCGTTCCGACTGACAGTTATGTTTCTGTGGCAATAAACAGCCAATCCAGCCCAGAATTTCTTGCTGTTTCTTTCATTATTCCCCCCTCCCGCCCCCATTTTTTCCCGTACCTAGTTTTTGAGGAAATAAGAAAACAATATTTGAAATATATTTGACCTATCGACCTGGATTTGGGGACCGAAGTCCGGAAGTAAACAAACCCCAAACAACATGTCTGGCCTTGTTTACAGAATTGTGTTGCTTACACTCTGATTGCATCAGTTGCAGTCTACATACAGCGAAACCCCTTAAGTCGAACTTCGTTAACTCAGTATATAGTAAAACAATGTTACTTTATGGTACCTGCGTAATCCTTATTGCCACAACGGTCCGTTATAGACACACAGCTTGCATCGAACTATAGATAACTCGAAATATCGGTTAAGTCGAAGTGACTTTATTGTAACGCCAGTATGTGCCCATGTAGACACAGCGCTTGTATCGAACTGCGGGTGACTCGGCAAATGTGGATTGTCCCCCGAGTTCGAATTAACGAGGTTTTATTGTTGTTTTACCAGTGAAGACATGTTCGATTACAATGATTACGCATCCCCATGTCTCCATGCCTCCACAAGCAGGATGATGAAAAGGTACTGGCGGCGTGAGTGAGTGAGTGACTAGTAGTGAGTGAGTGAGTGAGTGTCAGAGCCAACGCCTTAACCACTAGGCTACTCCATCACCATGATAATAATGATGACGACGATCACGATCACGACGACGACGACGACGATTACGATTGCAGTGGGAAGACTGAAAATGAAATTGACATTTAGTTACATAATTTGTTTTCAGTCAGGTGTGTGTGGAGTCATACATTAGCTCTTAACAATAATACGACCCGTGAAGATCCGGGGTAGAATAGGTCTTCAGCAACCCATGCTTGCAGTAAAAGGCGATTATGCTTGTCGTAAAAGGCGACAAACGGGATCAGGTGGTCAGGCTCGCTGACTTGGTTGATGCATGTCATCGATCCCAATTGCGTGGATCGATGCTCATGATGTCAATCACTGGATTGTCTGGTCCAGACTCGATTATTTACAGACCGCCGTCATATAGCTGGAATATTGCTGAGTGCGGCGTTAAACAACAAACCAACTAACAATAATATAGATTATGTTACACTCCGTAACATCATACACAGAAAATAATGTTGACCCGTACCCTTCGCCCCTCTCTAACAACCGTAGCTGTTAGCATACCTGGGTAGATTTCGACAACAGATACACGTGTACCCGTAGGCCTGTACTGGCCTTCCGACTCGCGTGTTACCTTGAAGCCCCCCGTTGTCCTTTACCTGATAAATACATGATAATTTAGATCTGAAAACCGCTGCAACCAGGAAGCTGTAATCGTATACTGTCACTTTGTGACTGTCTCGAATGTGTGAGTTTAACGTCTCTTTTAAAAAAAGTATTTAAGTTATATCACAGCATGTCAACTTGATGTGGGAACAAAGTACAAAGTTCTCACGAGAACAGGTATAGGGCTGACAACTGTAGAAATATAATCGGGGAGATCCCGGATTCGAACCCACGAACATCAGTTCCTGGCACTCCTAAGGGACGCAACTCTGCACAGCAAATAAATAACCAGGACGATCGCGAATCTAGGTTTCATAGTAGGCTGGATCACCCGTGAGCCCGTTTAACCATTCGTGACCAACTCGTGTTATTCCGGGACAAGCCGAATAGCGACTCGTGCCCCTCTCATAGCCATTTTTGCGACCGGGTTCCGTCTTAGCGCAAACGGGCATACCTAAAACAATTGTCAACTCGTTGCGGAATGGTTCACATATATTTCCCCATATATTATATATATTTCAGATGCAATTTAAAGCACATCTGGACATGCGGAATTATACAATATCATTGAACACATTTAACTGTGTCTTGGGTATATTTTTAGATGCAAGACATATGGAAAATCAAAAATTATTTCTGAGGGATTCTTTGATGAACAACTTGAAATCAAACGCGCATTCTGAATGGTTTGTCGTATTTTCGCACATAACCTTCATCGATAAGGGGACGAGTCTTCTTGCAGGTTACGGAAAGGGGCGAATGGCTCATTGTACAGTGGAGTGATGGGGCCTTATATAACTGCACCTGTGAACCAATTAGCCGACTCGGTCGTTGGTAGTCCAGAATACTGGTGATCGTAGTTGCCAGAACGATTGCGCAATCCTGTTCGTGTCAAGACAACGCTTTTCTATAATCTATAGATTACCGTTAACGCCCTACCGACATACTCGTTGTGTTGGACGATGCTTATTGTGTGATGGCGGGTGCTACTGGTAGGCCAGTACATGCTTACCCTTTTCGCGAACACTTGGTGTGATCATTGATTTTCAATGATCGATTCATATAAATTTTCACCGCTGTTTTGGCCTTTACACCCAATGGAATCTGTTTCGTGGGATAATCGAGACTTGTTATTCTCTGGCGTTCACGTTTTATATTTAATATAAAGAGTTGACTTCCGGAGGGGAGAACATGTTGTTTGTTTGTTTGTTGTTTAACGCCGCACTCAGCAATATTCCAGCTATATGACGGCGGTCTGTAAATAATAGAGTCTGGACCAGACAATCCAGTGATTGACATCATGAGCATCGATCCACGCAATTGGGATCGATGACATGCATCAACCAAGTCAGGGAGAACATGTAATTTGAATGCGTTACGTTTCTATAGGTCGCCATGTCAAACTGGGGTAGGCGGTATTAATTCTTCTTATACTGACAGAGAAAACCTGGCCATATAGGTTTATGGTACGGCTGTCTTGCACTTATTCAGCAGAATATTCCATGAAGCGATCGTAGTGCTAAAGTGATAGTTACTTCCATATTTTGACATAGTCAGACTGTCCTAGTGCTACGATCGCTTATTGGAACGAGACCCTCGTCCATACGCATCGCTATATACTCACACATCAACTGATGCAGATCCGGGTTCGAATTTGTCATCAGCAACCCATGATTGACGTAAAAGGCGACTATGCTTGTCGTAATCAGGCTATCAGGTGGTCAGGCATATCACACAGCAATATTCCAGCTATATGACGGCGGTCTGTAAATAATCGAATCTAGACCAGACAATCCAGTGAATTGACATCATGAGCATCGATCCACGAAATTGGGATCGATGACATGCATCAAGCAAGTCAGCAAGCCTGACAACCCGATCCCGTTAGTCGCTTGTTACGACAAGCATAGTCGCAGGAATGGGTTGCTGAAGAGCTATTCTACCCCGGATCTTCACGGATGCCCCAGAAGTAACATGTAGATAAACTGATGACGGTGACAACGAAGAAAGGATCTGATTACGGCTACCGCTGACATAGCCTGTTATACAACCAGGAAGTTGGACTATACGACCTGAGACTGAGATGTGTAGAGTCGTGTGACGCATGATGCGTACATCACAGTCTATGTAGTAGTGACGATCACAGGAGCTGGACATGCCCCCGATCGGAGGCCCATATGAAACAGCAGCAGCAACCATGGGTGAGTTAATCAAGAGGACTTTTCACCCCGCTTGATGTTTGCTTCCTGTCTATTGGGTTAGCCATGTAAAAATATCACTTGTAATCGGTTAGTCTCTCTTACGGTCACAATAGCATATAATTTAATATGACAATCAACCGCCCCATGTCATTCTCATCTAATTTAACGCACCAGGACTGAAAAAAGATACTTAAGAGTATCTTAACACTCGAGCGTTCCTTTGTAGGGCCTCGCTCCACAGAGCGATTTTAACCCTACGAACCGTGAAGATTCGTGAAGAATTGGTCCTCAGCAA